CCACCTCTCTGTGGCAAGCTGGACAGTTGCCTGGCGTGCAGGATAAAGCCAATGGGAAACCTCTTCACTGAAACTACAGGTAGTAGCTCCTCCAGTGTCCTGCTGCCCATCTCCTCGAGGGTCACAGGATCCATGTTGGGTTTTTTGTGGAGTTGGGGATTTTTTTTGTTTTTCCCCCCATGTTCTTCTGGATACCTGTACCATAAGCCTTAGCCAGCTATCAGCTTTGAGCATGTATTTTCTCAGTGAGGTCAATCAAATAGCATTTAGCTTCTGTGCTGCGCTGTGGAGTGCTTTCTGCAACATGTCTGACCTGGCTTTAAACCAAAGAAATCAGGTGTTTCTGCCAGTGCAAGGGAAGCAGAGGGCTTTACCAAGGCTTTACTGCCCCAAGGATTTACTGGCTTTAGAAGTACATGTTTCTCCGCAGACAGTTACGACTCTCTGAGCTGAATAATCTCTGTATCACTTCCCACACTGTGCAGGCAGATTTCTAAACAAGAACAAAAATGATTTTGTAATGGAAAATTGAAGTATTATCTGACTGCCATGTCACAGAGAAGCAGTTTGGTATCACTTGGTTTTTTTCAAGGTCTTATGTTTGGTTTTATGTTGGTTTTGTTGTTGGTTTGGGGTTTTTTCACTGGAACAGTTTGACAGTTCTGATACTAAACTTTGTTATTCTATCAAATGTAATACAGGATTCAGACAAAAATCCTGCAACACTTCTCTGATGAATGAAAAATCAGTGGTAGGATGAGCATGAAAGAAGGCCAAGCACATAAAAACTTAACAAACATCCTCAAAACAATCTGTGGTTTGCGGATTCCTGAACCAGATGCAATTTCAGTTTGTGTAGGAACCCTCACAGTATTCCTTCTCTCTGACTGTCCCCAGGCTTCCCATCGCCTTCTAGCACCCACAGCATCATGAGACAGGGATTTTTACAGCAGACCTTTGCGTTGGCTTCAAACTTGTCCTATCTGGTTTCACTTGATGCCCCTCCTTTTCCTTCAGGGAAGATCTAGTGAGCAGTAGTTGCCCACTGGCTGTCTCCATTCCCCCACTCATGATTTTACAGATCTCCATTTTATCTTCCCAACACCTCTTTCTCTCTTCCAAGCGGATTGGGTCTCACCAAGTATCAGATATTTGGGTTTGAGCAATAGGAAAGTGGCACTGGCACCTTTAGAGATAAGCAGCAATTGCTTCCTTTCTGAAATCAAACTTATTGGAAAAGAAAATAAATGTATGGTTTCCATGTTGCACATCCACATGTGAATGCCTGAGTGCAAATCTCATTTTTCATTGAACAGATTTCAAGGTGTGAGTAACCTTGCCATTTGACCTAGGTACTTTTCCCACCATTTGGGTGTGTGAGTAAAAAATCAAGTACTTTCACTTTCCCACTTTCCTAGTATTTTTGGTGAAGGGAGGGATATAAGGTTTAAATCTTATGAATGTCCCAAATACTCAGAGCATCCTGAGTGTACCTCCCAAATGGTACTCTACCATTTTGGAAGGATAACCATCCGTGATGACTATCTGTATTCTTACAGAAGCAGCACACTACAGATACAAATCTTTCCTTTTAAACCTACCACATTCACAGTAAAACTGGCATCAGTGCCTGTTTTCTCCACCTCTTTTCAACCTAGTTTCTATAATCCTTTCAGTTCTTAAAAAAAAAAAAAACAAAACAGAAACACTTGGTGTCCACAGACTAGCTTTAAGGAACTCTGTGTGTGTGTGACATCCCATCTGACGGTTTTCACTAGCCCCCTCAAAAGGTGCAGAAACTGTACAAAATTGGGTCATCCTGTATATACCCCAACATCCTCCTGGCTCCTGCCTTCATCCTATGGCTTGAGCTCAATGCATCCTTGCCAGGAGGAGGAGATTGGGGATGCTCTTGAGGGTTACTTCATGGAGGTGATTAGTGTTAACTGCTAGCTGAAGCAGTGATGGATTACTCCCTGCATTGAAGAAAAAAAAAAAAAGAGAACGTGCATTTAACTGAAGCTGTCTGGGGTAAAACTGAAAATAAAGTGAGCGCTTTATTTTCTTGGTGCTGGGACCCTTAGTAAATTTGTAACTTAACAGGCATACTTGGAAAAAACATATCTTTAATTAGATGAACAAAGTAACGAGGAACATTTAGTGCTTTCAATGTAGATAAGTGCCTTAATAAATGCTTATGTGTAAGCATGTGCTTTATGTGACAGTGTTTTCACTAAAGTCCTGAATCAGGAGCCTGCTTAAGTGGGGGCTGGTTTCATTTACTCAGTGTCTAAAATCCTTGACATGCTGATTTTGGTGGGATTTTTGTCAGCCAGTCCAATCTTCTACCACATTTTTTCAGAACACTCCCATGTAAACCAGGAACACAGATAGTCACAACCTTCAGTGACTGGGAGAAACCTAAACTGAATGTGATCTAGTGACCTGAAGGTGAAATGTCCTGATAGCTAATTACCAATGCTGCGAATCATGAATCTTGAGAGAAAAAAATACTTTTGTTGTCATACTCCTCAGCCATAGCTGTGGTACAAAATCAAATAGTAGAGGTGTGCAGTCAAGCTGACTTAAAGCCAGTGAAATGGAAATGTGAGCAATATTCCAATTCAAATCCACAGAAGCCCACTAGTTAGTAAGTAGTTGAAGTATTTTAGTGCCTGCTGTGTTGCTGCCTACAGGGAAAATACTCTAAGAGCTTTCCCTTTCTCACAAAGAATAGAAGTTTCCATCTATGTTTTATAAGGCTGTCTTGTCACATCCATTATACAGCATGACACAACCAGCCAGAGGAGGTACTGTGTTTTAGCAAGACGGTTTTTGTGAAGGGTAGAATACGTTTATGTACACAAAAGCATATGTATATATACACACATATAAATGTAGGTCAGTTAACTGTGAAGATGTAGGTGCCTTATAGTGGCCTATGGAGTGTCAGATGTGGGGTGTTAATGCCTCCATATGTGAAATCCAAACATTCTGTCATCTGGCCAGTTTAGCGCAAACAGTGCAGAATTATCCTTATTCTGAGCATATTAGGCCATTAACTGGAACAGCTTTTAGAACTACTTTATTCCAGTCCATGGCTGACCAGCTATTTGAGGAAATAGCAAAGAAAAAATTCTCTTTTCGGTCTCCAAAGTGTGCTGTTAGTATCACACACAGAATGAAGACAATGGCAAGAGAGATCCCTAAACAATGTCGGGGGTTTTTAATCCCTAAGATATCCGATATCCTGTTCCATTCAAAAATGCAAAGGGGAGATAAGGATTGGAGGAGTGATACAAGGGATGATCCACACCATCAATTTTATATAAGAAAAGATTTTAAAGGTACATGCATAAATTTTTTATGCTTGTGTGTGCACAAATGCAAACTATTTCTGCATGCAGAGAGCTATGAGATGTCAAGTTTCCAGCTGAAGACAGGCACTGTTTGTGACATTTTAGTTACCCAGAAATCCAATTTCCCTATTCTGGAACAACTTCAGCAAACTATTTTTGTTCAGCATGACATACGTAAGACAGTGGGGCGTGTGTGCCTGTAGATGTAGATATACACAAACAATCAGCATGTAAGACTATGCAGTGTATTACGAACTGCTTGACAAATGCATCATTTCACTAGTTTGCCTGTTCTGGGTTCATTACTCCAGCCCTCACATCACCATTCTGATGTCTCACTCTTTAGCAGGAGTAGTCCAGACAGTTATCTATCTCCATGTTTTGCTTTGTTTTGAGTGAGACTGGCATTTAAAAAAAAAAAAAAAAAGAGAAAAACAAAACAAACAAGCACGATTAATTTCTGCATAGGCAGCATTTTATCATATGCCCCTTGAGGAAATAGCATGAAGGTTTGAAATCCCTGAGAAGCAGAGAATTCCCAGAGCGTCAGTAGGGCACCTAGAAATAAGACAGAAAAATTACTTTGGGTCTTAAGGAATCCTCAAATGTCTTCAAGCCCAGCCTTACATCTACTGAAATATTTAAATAACAAAAACATGCTTTCACAGTAGGGAATAAAAACTGTTGTTCCAGTAAAAACTGAGGCTGGTACACTTGTTTGACTGACTCCATTTACTACTCAGTATTTCTGTCTTGGCTACACAATCTAAAATAAGAAAAGACGTCCAGGAGAGGGAAACGGATCCAGACTGGGGATGGGTGAGGAGAAACGTTCCCTGCAAAGGTGCAGGAGATTGACAAAAAGCAAACAGTTGTTCCTTCCTGAGAGGAGGGTGTTGCGGGGGAGAAAAGCAGGTCATCCTGCTCTTGAAACACCTGAGAGAGTCTGCTGCCTGCTGAGGGGAGCAGCCTGGGCACGGACGAGTGACTGTGTTCATGAACGTGACTGAAAACCCTCAGCTGTGGAAATGACCGTGCTGTCCTTGGTGGCTTGAATTTTAAACAAAGCCAGCTGGGGGCTATCTGTCCCATTTGCTTTGCAGGTAAATCCCATGCAATCTGGCTAAAACACCTTCTCCTTGTCAAGCCCAGGGAAAGTCTTACCACCAACCTCACCAGGGAAAAATACCGTCTGTAGCCCAGCTTCCTTCCTCCATGATGCCACCCACTGCTTTCGTGTTGCCTTACTGTCACAACTGCACCACGCAATCCATGGTTTTGGCCCGACATCTCAAATGCAAAAGCACATCTTTGTCCCTTTAACTACTCTCTCAGCTGTTATGCCTGTTTTCTCCCCTCCTCTGGGACTGTGCACTCTGTTGCTGCTCCGGCTGCTGGGAACAAGCGAGGAGAATTTCTCCTGCTGGTGAGCGACTGGCTAGTCCGGGGCTGGCATCTTCCCAGGACGCTGCTGTTTGCATACCAGCAGGCAGAGGAGCAGGTGAAATGGGACTGATGACATCTGTACAGATGCGTTTGACTGCTTACATGCTCTTACGAATCTGTTACCCTTAAAGCCTCCGTTTCTCTGACGAGATTTCTCTCTCTCTCTCTCTCTCTCTCTCAAATTATTTTTCCAAGGAGAAAAGGAAAAGGCAGACAGAAATAGAAGGCAAGAGACAACAGCTTGAGGACCAGATACTTCAGCTGCAGCATTTCAAGGTAAGGGACTGATGCCAGAAATGATGGATTGACTAAATCTGTTCATTATTAGACATGCAGATCACACGTCTGAAAGCTGGGAAGAGCCCACTCCGACATGAAGCAGCTTTCACTGCCGGAGCCTATCTCTTGTAGTGATCATGTCCTGCCTGCTTTTCATTCTGTGTGTTTCATGCACAGGACCGTGTTGCAGAAACAGCTTAGGAGCATGGAGTCGGGAGGGTGTTAGCGCAGGCAGCACGATGGTGCTGTTATGATTTAACGCTATTATTTATTATACATAATAAGACACCAATTGCTGTGGATTGGGTGTGCACTGCATAGCTTCAGTGAGCACTTTCTGCCTGCAGAGCTGCGTTGTATTTTTCTGGTGCCTGTCATTAGATTTTGTGTGTGTGTGTGTGTTACAGAGGGAGCATTAGTTAGCATGCATGTGTGTGTGTGTGTGAAGCTTTAATTGTAGGATGAAGTTATTAAGCATACATAGCATAAAAAAATGGGCACGTATCCACATGCAGGGCGGGTGTTGATGCATACGTGTGCCTCTACATGGAGAGGCGCCTTGATATTTAGCAGGGTGCCAAGCAGCCCCATTCCCCATTGGACTCCATGACAGCTGCAGATAGTATCATTTGAAAGCTATCCTGGTTATTTCTGTCATTTATCCTTCCTGTCAGTAGCAGAGTTTGTCTTTACATTTGTGCATAGCAAAGAGAGGAACAAAACCGTACATGTGATCTTTTTGTAACCAGTGCACATTTGTGGTCAAATCTCATTAGATTAGTTCAATAGGGCAGCCCGAGGGATTTCAGTGATTAAAAGATGATCAGAACTGGACAATCTATCCTTGCAGCAAGTGAGCTGTGCTGTGTTTTTAAAAATAGAGATGTTTAGGTTGCTTGTGCAGTAGTATGTGTATGTGTGTGTGTGAACAGTGCACCTGCATGGGGAGATGGTGCACAGAATGTCTTCCCTGCCCACGCATGCACCTGAAGACTAGACTTCAAGTTATTCTACAGACAGGATCCTTCTCCTGTCTCTTCAAGCCCCTGCTATCATGTTCTGTAAACTATTCCTCATTTTCTGGTAAATATGATGCAGTTAAGCCCAAGTAATTGATTGCAGCCTACACAAATGCTCCATTGGGTTCACCATAAATCTGTGGATGTCACACGTTGTCTTTGGTGTTACCAATCGATGTGATTGAATTTCTGTGGGGCAACAGGAGCTGCCATTTCGTTCAGGCTGCCATTGACTACAGGCAAGGGAGAATTTCTTTTAAGGACCGTAGGGTGATGCAGCAGGGCAGCAAGATGCCTTTTCAGTGCCTTCATGATGCTTTTTTTTTTTTCTTCTTGCTGCAAAGCTGAGGACTTCCTTTATCATGTTAACTGTTTCCAAGCTAACTGAATTAAGATTTTTTCCTGAAATTCTTTAAGCAGAGCCTTTTGAAAAGCCAATTCTAGGAATTCTGTATTTTATCTGATTTATTTTGACACAGCTGTTGCTAAACTGAATTTTATCATCATCCATAGGGAAAAGGAAAACCTCTCAAGGTGGTGCAGGGGGGTCAGCCCCTCAGCTGGTATAAACTGGTACTGATTTCAGCCCTGCTATGCTGATTGCCACTAGCAGAGGTTCAGTCTTGCTGCATGGATTTCTTGAGTGACACACATGAAAATTAACTATTTCCCTTTACTATTTAGCTCACAGCCTGGAGCAAGAGCAGTAATTTTACAGGAAGCTAAGGGGAGATCAGGGCACAGAAATGTAAAATGGCAGCTTTCTCAGCTAAAAACACAAACAGACTTAAGGTCTGCAATTCTGAGTGCAAGGATGAGCATCAAGATACAATAGGAGCTTCTCTACCTCTACAGTCAGTGGCATCATTTGTCACTAGAGGAGAAGTGTGTTGCTTTTAGTGGAGTGGTCATGGTGACTGCTGCTCCAGGAGCTGCCTGTACCACCTCACTGTACCGCCAAACAGTCTGCTGGGAGAACTGGATAAAGTGATAGCAGAGGCCTATATGGGATTACAGAGTTCATCCTCATTGCTGCTGGGCACTTCCTAAACCAAGAGAGGCCCCAGGCTTAAAAAAAAAAAAAAAAAAAAAAAAAAAAAAAAAAAAGATAGTATTTTCCCTTCTCTGTGGAGACAGACCGAGCAAACTGCATTTTCTCTTCATTCAGTGTTCTGGTTGTTTAGTGGGATGCTGATGAAAATGGTACTTGGCCAGCCAGGCTGCTCTGTTCATTTGGAAAGCTGTGTATCCTGGCCCACCTCTCCAAGACTCTCCCTCACCTCACCCTGGTTGCTCTGAGTCTCTGCAAGTCAGGGGCTCCAAGTCTTTTATGAATATAATCCTCCAGTCTGATATGGTTCCCCAGCCTGGCTTACACAGCCCAAAGTAAGTGCATCCATTTTCCTTCCAAAGTGCTAGGTAGAACATGGTTCATTTCCTGAATTATGTGGATTTCAACTGATTCTGTACAAAACATAAATCCGGGTCAAAAAAAATCAGGCTTGCCCAGGAAGCCCATGTATTTCCCCAAAATGTTGTAAGGTTGTGGATGTCAGTGTAGAGTGTAAGGGCTTCATATCATTGTTCATTAAAGTCTGCTGTGGAGAAACCTTTGAAAATAGTATCTGGGTTAATCCTGTGTCTGTAGTATCTGGGTTGATCCCACAAGCATAACAGCTTGAATTCACCCAAAGACATTCATGACAGGCTTCAATGGGTTTGCTTCATTTTTGTGAAATGTCAAAGTAATTTTCTTTTTAAAATACACTGTGTAAAATAGCATGTTTGGTTACCTAATAAAGGTTCTGAAAGCTACAGGGATTCTGTTAATTTCAGACAATTTTATTCACATAGGAAAATATATAATAGAAATAGTTTATTGTAAATGTGTATGCTGGATCACCTACAGTTTAAGTTGCTGATGCCAATTAGACCCCTGGCAAAATGACTTAACTCTATTAGCAGTTCATTCATTTTTCCCTTGTTACATACCTGGCTGAAAATGGCCCCTTTGTTTTAGGCAGAACAACTCAACAAACTCCAGAGTTAGTAAATATCAGCACCGAACCTGGACGAGGCTTTGGCAACATGTTTTGCAAAGGCTTCCAAGAATGAGGCCAATGGCTTTATGGCTGAGGACACCCAGACAAAGACATGGCTCAGCTATTGATGGTCTGTGTGAGTTTCTGAGATATCAGTGAAACCCTCCAAATGTGAAAGTCTGGAGTAGGAAAGAGTCTAGAGTAGCGTAGGCTCTAAAAACTCAATTCCCTCATTGCTGACACTGAAAGCCATTATCACCTCTTCTGTGAATCACTGGGAAGTAGGGTTGCTGGGAATAGAGCATCCTCATGGTATTTCAGGGCTGTTGGGGCACTCCGTTGAAGGCAGGAGGTGTATTTGTCTACTGTACAATCAGATGTTTCATTGGAAAGGCCCTTGGTATTGGAAAAGGAATAAGGGTGCTTTGAAGCTTCATATTTTGAGACTGAACATGCTGGTTTTCTCTAATAAGAAGCAATTTACAATAGCTTCCCTTACATCCCACCTACTTTAATCTTTAATACCAAAACAATCCTTCTTCTTTCATATAACACAAGTTGTGTTTTGTTGTGCTTTCTAACAGTCCATAGAGTTTAAACTTCATGCATTGGCAGTTCATTGGGCATATGCCTACAAAAGGGGCTTGCCACATCCATGGGAACTGGCGATGTGACCAGCTTCTATAGTTTGAAATCAGAGCAGTGGGCAAAATTCACCTTATGCAAACATTTTGTCTGCAGTATCTGTCAACATGATGTGGTTTTTTGAGAAAGACAGTAATTTATTTTGGTTGATTAGTTGCACTGGAGATATAACATACAAACAACAGCTGCTTTTAATAACTTGTTCAGCTAGGCAGCAGTTGGGCAGGCCCATTTTAATGGAGATGTTTACTATTTCAAATAAATTCTGGGACAGAAGTGTTTCTTCCAAGATCTGGCTGCCTCTGTAGTTAGTTGAACAGGATTTCTATAATTGTTTGCTGTAGCTCTGTTTGATAGCGGCTGGTAATAAAATAAACAGCACAAAACCTCCAAATTGAATGAAAAATTACCTCTCTGCTGTTACTTTAACTGTTAACAATAAATCCATTTACCACAGTTATTTTATTTCTGGAGTGGTATAAATATTAGAGACCTATTTCTGTTAACATCTGCTTCTTAAAAGACTGCAGTTCATGAACACTTAATCTATAACATAATTACATCTTTACTCTGAAGCAAAGGAAAGCCTTTTATGTTACAGAGATTTTGTTAGGGTATGAGTTTGGCTGAAATTATCTATAAATAAATTTTAATTTTATTTTTCCACAGTTATATTGCTATCCTCAATTTATTCTAGTCTTAAAATAACTGCTGTCAGAGAATATAAATAGATCTGTCTGTCCATATATATATATATATATATATATATAATATATATATGCAGCAGTGTGGAAAAACAAAGATAACTTTCACAAATGAAGGAATGTTTTTATTCCTTTATGTTGAATCCCTTTACGATTTTCAAGTAAATTAACCCTTAAACCAAATGATGACTCAGTCAAGCACACAAAAAATGTTTGATGATGTCATGGGCAGTCTCCATTCTCCTCAGGGTCAGCAGATAGCTTCCAAATACTATTCTTATTAATAGTTGAGCAGTCATTCTGGTAAATGATGTCTGCTGTGATAGTTCCAGGCTGACCCTCTGTTTTTAATGTAATGGAGCCCACTGCACCTCTGCAAGACTGGAGGTCCATCATCTCCATTTCCTAACCACAGTTCTAGGGCATGGAGAGGTTAAGAGCTAATTTCAAGATAAATTTCCATTTCCAAGAGCATAGGGGACCCCTGTTCGTCCCTTTCTGTGCTTTAGTATCTTTGGGATGATGCCCATCTTTTGCTGGAAGGCTCACCTCCCACCACGATTTAAGCTGAGAAGTGAAAGGCTCTC